AGGGCTGGTTTTGTCCAACATTTTTATTAATGACCTAGATGAGGGGATGGATTGCACCCTCAGCAAGTTTGCGGATGACACTAAGCTAGGGGGACAGGTAGATATACTGGAAGGCAGGGATAGGGTCCAGAGAGACCTAGACAGATTAGAGGATTGGGCCAAAAGAAATATGATGAGGTGTAACAAGGACAAATGTAGAGTCCTGCACTTGGGACGGAAGAATCCCAAGCATTGTTACAGGCTAGGGACCGAATGGTTCTGCAGAAAAGGACTTGGGGATTACAGTGGATGAGAAGCTGGATAGGAGTCAACCATGTGCCCTTGTAGCCAATTGCTTAAGGTGTAAAAGATAATCAAGAATTGTGTGGAGGGATGTGGCAGCTGGTTTAATTAATCTATTAGAGTACTAATGGGAGAATCTTTTCCATTTCTGCATATAGGTCTTTCGAGTGGTCTGAGCTCTTCTATGGAGTAACACTAGTTGGACAAGTTCTGAACATTCTAGCTCCTGAGCAAAGAACCATTGAGTTACCATGCCTTGAGTAGGGATGTTAAAATGTGTTTATTTTGGTAAATGTATACCCACTGAAATTTTCATCAGGTAAGTGTTTAAATGTGGGAGGAAGTAAGGGGAGGCAACTACCCTCGTGTGCTGCTGCAGTTGGGGGGCCCTGTGTGTAACGGTGAAGGTTACACTAGGACATCCCTGGCCTATGGAAACTCTGACATCCCTAGCCTTGAGATGCAGCATATGAAGGTAGGAGTGCCATGTGTGTATTCCTGGTTGTGATCGAAGACTGTGGGTTGTTGGAAGGTGGTTGTTGAAAAAACAGACATTGTGGTGAGGAAGGGTTGTCTGGGCCATGAGAGAGCTAGGAGTATGACAATAGCTCTGTCCCTCCATTAATGCACCACACTGCTGAAGAGAGATATGGGTGGGAATGCGTATAGTAGGTTGCAATCCCATTTCATCAGCAGATCATCCCAGCGACCACGTGCCCATCCCTGCTCTGGAGCAGAAGTCTAGGCACTACTTGTTGCTGTGAGTAGCAAAAAGGTCAATCCTGGGGTGACACCATAGGTCAGAGATCGAACTGAAAACATCACCACTTATCTTCTATTCGTGTGCTGTAGAAAGAGCTCTGTTGACAGCTTCTGTGATAGTACTGAGTAGGGATGCGAGAAAACTTTTTTGGTAAATGTGTAAGTGCTGAAATTTTAAGTGGTTACACATGAGGGGAAGAGGTGGTGACAGCATGGGAGCTGGTGCACGCGGACAACCAGCTTAAAAGACGGCTGTCTGCATGTATCGGCTCCTACCTTACCCCTACACTGCTGGCTCTGATACAGAGGCAGCAGCGAGGGTAGGGGATTTGAGGGTAACTGTGAAGGTTAATTGATGAGCCCGGGGTCACTGGTTAATCGTTTAAACATATACACTATCACATCTCTAGTAGAGAGAACTCCTGGAAGGTGAAAAGCAGATATTGTTATGCTGTATTTGAGGCACCAGTTCCACAGAAAGTGATGGACTCTGCGCAGCGAGTCTGGGAACGGATAACACCTTGTCTGTCTATATAAAACATGCTGGCTATGTTGTCTGTGTAGACTCTGACATACTGTGACTAGGGATGTGAGAGACTAATCATCTAATCGATTATCCGATAAGGAAATACATATCAGATAGTCAACTTCCCCCTCTTGCTGCCTCTATCAAAAAGAAGAGAAAAATTGTTCTCCTTGACCTCTGAAAAATGTGAAATATTATTTCACTTTCCTGATAGTGGTATCCTGAAATAACTTTGCTGGGTAGACATACTCGAGGAGTGCTGACCAGCACCCGGTGACTAAGGGGTACATTCAGGTAGCTAGCAAAGGTATTGGCCAGGAGAACCAATCGACAAAGAGTTGAAATTTGAATTGGATATAGGTTCTCTGCCAGCTTTCTGTGTGTGGGAGAGAGAAACCAGGAGTTGAGACAAAGAGAATGATTTAAACCAAGGAAGGACTGCCATGTCTCCAAGGAATTCAGGGCATGGGAGACAACGAACAAAGAGAAAATTAGAAGTAATTTTCTTTATTTTGTGGTTTGGTTAGAACATATGTTCCAGGAAACTGTAGCTATAATGGTTCAGGACCACCTGCTGCTTGGCTATGGTAGATCATACCTTCCAGCTTCTTCACTTCTTTGAACTTAAGGGTCAGCCCTGCCGCTCCCTGTCTTTTTCTGGTTTGCTGCCTCCACCACCAGCGTATACAGTGGAGAGCAGGTAAACAGGCGCTCATACCCCTTGGATGGCACTAAGTATTTCTGCTCTACCCCAGGGGAGGAGAAACTTTTTTGGGCCAGGGACCGCTGAGCCACAGAAAAATCAGTTGGGGGCCGCACATAAGAGAAGCAAAAAAGAAAAACCAAACCTTCACTTCTATGGCCCCCAACCGAGAAGCAGAAAGACACTCCCAACATTCGCCTCACATATCAGACCTAGGTTGGCCTAGGCTAGTAAATTTTGTGTTCTCCAACACCACGGTGGGATGGTGGGAGGGCTAGAGCACCAATGTGGGCTCCTCAATGCTCAGGAGGAGCCTGAGCCTTGGGGTCCAGGGACCACATCTGGCCCCCAAGTCTTAGGTTCCCACCTGGTCTACACCTTTCACCATCAGACAGGAGGATGTGCCCCACAGTGCTCCTTCTAATTTTTTCCATCCGTGTGTGAAATAAATGTTATGCGCACCAAGATACGTACACATGTGCAGAACGAGTAGACAAACATGCTGCTAGGTGTGGGCACTCTGTTAATCAGCTGGGCTGGATTTGAATCTCTTCTGGGTGGCTGCCCAAGAGCTCAGCTTACAGGGAACAATGGTGTGCCGCAGCATTTTAGTAGAATTTTGAATAGTTTTAAAAAGGGACAAAGCCACCCTCAAAAGGCCCACAGGGACCAGAATGTCCACTATAGGCTAAGTCTCCAAGACCTCCTTCACCTGCATATTAATGTTTTGAGCCACCCTCCCGAGCAACTCCTGATGTACAATGATGTCCATGGCAGGCAATGTCCTGGAAGTGCTCACCACTGATTCATCTGTGGACAATGGGGACGAGGCACTTGAGAACAATGAATCTTTCTGCTCCTTAGCTCATGGGGACCCTCCTGTGTCAAGACGCTTTGTGCAGTGCCAGGGGTCATAAATGATTGTGCCTGTTCCTGCCTCGGTCCCAGTGCCAAACTACCTGTCTATGTGGGGCGTCTTGGGCTAACAAGGTCACTGATGGAAGTACCTCTAAAGCCACTGACAGGGATCTAGATCCTAGCCCTTGGACTTGGTGGTAGGACCACAGTGTCCAGAATAGCTATTCAGCTGGCTATGACCACCGTGTGGCCCAGGACATCATGAACAACAGTTGCCCTCTTTTCTGCCTCTAGTAGTGCTGGGAACAATGCTGGCTTCACCTAGAGGCATACAATTCCATTTCTGAGTCTAATGAGTAGACTGGTGTCATTGACCAAGACAGTGCAAAACAGTATGGTGCTGGGGAGTGGTGTTGATTTGCCTCTCAAGGGCACGGTGCTTCTCTATAGCACTGGTGCCAGTGTGTGGGACTGTGCCACCATTGCAATCAGGCCTCTAGTGGCTTCAATGGCGTCTGCTTATGATATTCCTGTACCAGAGAGTCCTAGAAAACTGGACTTTACAGACCTCTGGGTCAAGTCTTAAGTAAATAGTGCCGGCAGAGCTGGAGCAAGGTGCCCCAACATGGGACAAAAACTCCACTGGTGCTTGCTCACTCCATTACTTTAGTGTGAGAGTGCCCCCTATCCATTGTCTTCTTGTGCAGCACTGGCAAAATGGAAGCGGTGCCAGGTGCTTGCACTGCAACAGGCTTTTGGCACCAGGGAAAGGCAGTGCTGAGGGTCCCTGCAGTCTGAGTACTTCCTTGGTGTTGTGGTCTCCTCTACGGAGGCTGGTGTGCTTTGCACTAAGTGCTAGGCTCAGATGCTGACTGGGCCAGCTGCGGACAGAGCGCTAACTATAGGGAGAGATTGTGTGTGTTTCCTTTTGGCATAGACTTCAGACAAGACCCACATGGCTTGAAACACTGAGATTGAGGCATGCCCTGGTGGTTGGGGTGGGGCCTAAGACCCCCTCAACTGAAATTGATCTAATTACACTATAAAATGTAACTATTTACAGATAAACTGAACAAAAGTCAATTAGGGAAACACTTGCTATTCGCAAGAGAGAAGCTTCTCCAATGACCATCACTGGCAGTTAGAAGGAACCAAAGACGTGTCAGGTTGGCAGGGACCTAAATGCAACACCATGAAGGTGTAAGTCTGGGGAAAGAGGTGTCAGGTTGGCAGGGACCTATATGCAACACCATGAAGGTGTAAGTCTGGGGGGCTCCATAACCAACTCGATGGTACTGCTATGGCAAAAGCCTTCTGGTGCTTGTGCATGCAGCACACACACACCTGCTTGTAATCAGCATGAAGAATCACTCAAAGAAGAATCTACTATGAAGAATCACTTGAAGAATCTACTAACCTTCTTTCACCATGATTATAACTGTAGGAAATTATTTTCAGTGAGCGAGCAAGCAAGAAGAAAATAATGTTCATTTAGCACATATCAATCATGTGAGGTGATCAAAATTCTAAAATGAATATGCATTCTTGTCAGATATATTTATTTTTATTAATCAGTTATGCTAATTTTACCTAATGGACACTAGCTCAGGGAAGTACATATTACTCACTGTACCATTACTGGGGAAAAAAACCAGTATCATCTTAGTGAGCAGTTCGTTCCAGGGATCATCCAAACAATTTAAAAAAATAAATTTTATTAATTAGAAGTTTAAAGAACTTTGATCTTATTAATAAACATCAGTCTGTTAATATGGAATGATTTTTAGGTGTAAAACATACACAGTGCAAATCAAAAAGTTATTAATGCTTGAAAATGCATCAATGTGATAAATAGTAAAATGAACTTACTGGTTCTGTGAGTGTGCTATCCTTTTCTAAAAATTGCACTACACAGTATGCCAACTAAATAGAAAAAAAGAAAAAGTGTATATTATTCATTGATAAACAAAAGTATTTCAATGTAAGTATATGCCACATACAAATTCTGCTAACATTAAAATTTGAGAATATTTCCAAATTCAGGGAAAAACGTCTTCAACTATTACATGTAGTAAAATATATATGAATAATTTTTATTTCTGTATTTTTCAGAAAATTTAAAACAGCAACGGCACATTATACAAAGTATCAGTATTTTCTGAGTTAAAATAGATCTTTAACAAGGTTTTGACAGTATTTTACTGACTAACATTTCACTATTTTCATTTTTTTCCTGATGACTTATGAACACACGCAGTCACATGACTGTTCCAAAAATTAAACTAATGTAATTTCTTGAAAAAAGTCACAACACCTTTATAGTCTCAAACATTTATCATCTCAGACAGAACTTTGCTGTAATTATCTTTATTATAATTTCTTCTTCCCCTAACCACAGTGGATCTGTAACTGAATGTGCTTAAAATTTTCTCAAGTGGAAACATGAGGTAAAAATACCAGGTCTCTCAGAGGAGCCAACACCTCTCTCATACAACCATCATAGTTCTTTCCACTAAAACATACAAATCTAAAATATAAGGGGAGGAGGGTAATACCAAGATGCGAGAAGTGAAAACATAAAGATGCCAACAAATAATTCTCTTGCTTAAGTCTTCTTTACCTCTATCATACAATGAATCAGAATGCACCAATATGGCAACTAGTGTCAACTTAGAAAGAGGGTAAGAGAAGGCTTATATCATGTTATCACCTAAAAATGTTCTTTCTATATGTGGCCTCTTCTTCTGGGCAAGACTGACTTTATAACAACACCCAATATTATAAGTACTGTAGACCAGGAAGCAGCTCTGCAGATTTTTGGACAAATGCCTTAGCCTTTTTCTCAAGATACATTGTAGGCCTCTGCTCCATTGCCCTGTTAGAAAATATTATTCCAAAGCCAGCTTCTAGTATTGAAATATTAGAGGCCTCTTTCCTTTGTTAGGGCCCTTGAAATATAAAAATGTTGAACTCTGAAACTTTTAGTGTACTGAAAATAAAAATTCTGAAAGTGTCCAAAGCATGATGTTTCTGCTTTCACAAGGTTTATGGGGGAAAAAAGCTTATTTTTAATATTCACCTCTGAGTTAGGTTAAGAACAAGTACCCAACCTCTAGAAAAACATTACATAAAGAGGCTCAAAGATGAATTCCTCAACTCTCCTAGTAACTTTACCAACTAAAAGGGTGCTTTAATCAAGGAGGACACAAGAGATCGCAGCAGTCAAAACCCACAGGGATTATCACCACCTGGGGAAACAATTGACTGGTTACAATCGACTGATGAAAAACAGTTTTAAAGGCTGGACAGTAACGCTTTCTGTCATTTTTATCCAATGCAAAAGTCGAATGCTTCTGAAAGCAGAATCAAACTTTTAGCGCGTCCTGTTGCACCGTACATGAAGCCTCTGAGCACACGTTCAAAGGGCCCAGACACCACTGAAGGACATCTATCACCAACAGTGGGGCGGTCAGCACCTGGTCCAAACAGCAGCAAGACAGCTTGCACACACTTGCAAGCGACATCCGTAGTGGATGGAGGTGAAGCCTGGCAAAGGGAACGTGGATGAAGGAAACCATATGCCCCAACAACCTGAGGCAGGTCCTGGCCATTGTGATCCCCCCCCCTCCAAGAGCCCATATCAGTCTACACATGCTTTCAAAATGTATTGATCTTGAAATTACTGCAAAGATCTTGAAAAAATTGAATTCCAAATACAGCCAGACTGACCATTCCCTCAATGACCTTAAAACATGCATATTGCTTCAAAGAGACTAACTCCAGACTTCAAAATTGTCATTCATGCTTAAATTTGACACTTTATTTATGGGTTTAAACAAAGACTCTAATTATCTCACCCATTACAAAGATAGCGTCCCCAATTATCACCCCTAATGTCATTACCTCACAGAAACTTCCCTTATTATCACCCCTATGTCATTACCTCACAGAAACTTCCCCTATTATCACCCCTATGTCATTACCTCACAGACACTAACCTTCCTCCCTCATCCCGACTCTGTTCTAAAATTTGATTTGTAAATTTCACATGCGTTCATTTTTTTGATTGTATCACTTTGGTATACAGGCAGTCCCCGGGTTACGTACAAGATAGGGACTGTAGGTTTGTTCTTAAGTTGAATCTGTATGTAAGTCGGAACTGGCGTCCAGATTCAGCCGCTGCTGAAACTGACC